TTGCAAACTACATATTTTTTCTTGAAAGCAACTATGTGTTTTCTTTATACCAATTGATTCGTCTCATTATTTTATGCATAAAAGTATTAAAGTAAGCTTCCCAAAAATTGAATGTTTTACAAGATATTTTGTATTTTATGTCAAAATACTGTAATTTACAAGCCTCATAACTCGAAAAGTACTTAATAAAAAATAACTTTATTATAGTGTTTTGAAAAGCTCTTGACACCAGCTATTAGATTTTGGAATCAAAAATAGGGGTTTCCATTTAAAAAAATAACTCTGATCTTCAAATGACCTTGAAAATTGATTTCAAGGTCAAAGTCACTAGCATAAATAAGTGACTTCCATTGTCCTGAACAACTTTTGTCTGAACCATTTTTCTGTATTTGGCTTACTTACAGAGTTATTTGCGTGGATGGATTAAAAATGGCCCACCCTGTATAGAACGTGTCCCCGGAAATTGATTATTCCATGTAATAAAGAAGGGGGAAAAATGGAAGAGGGGATAAGAAATGTAAGGACTTTGTCTCCACGTGAGACGTAGCATTTTAAACGTAGCATTTAATTAAATTATAAATTATTATTTCTGTTGATCAATCCCGTTTACTAATGCAAGTCACACTCTTTATACTTTTTTCAGTTTCGACAATAGCGTGAAAATGTAAAAATAAAAAGATATAGTATATCAAGAAATAATAGAAGAGAAAAAAATTTTTGATGTCAATAGCTTAATCATAATATAATTATTACACAATATAATTTTCTAGGGCAAGTTTTAAATTATTCGAAGAAAAAATTCGCAATAATTTTTTCAACAATTAAAGACTATATCAATATTATGCGAATAAAATTGAAAAAAATATTGCAAATTATATTTAATATCAATTATATATATTATATAATATTGTTGTAGATTAGGTTGTTACGGATCATTAAAACTGCACATGAATATGTATAATTAGTAAAATGTATTTTAAATAATGCATAAAAAGAAAGATCAAGTACAAGATTGTAGAATACTTATTTTAAGCTTAACAAAGGCACTGATATTTACAAAAAGATTAATATGATACTAGCGGCAATAGAATATTATCTAGATCTGCGTATAACTTATAGTAAATTTAACATTCTGAAATGGCAATTTTTACATTTCCATAATACTGATTGTAAATAGTATCTTACATAAATTAACTCAATGCGAAAGACGGTCGCGTATCGCGTATTTGCAAGTAATATAAAATTTAGAACAAAGATAATATTTATTATAAACTTCGGGTATCACTCTTAAAAATATATATTTATATTATATTGTGAAGCATTATAATAAATATAATCGCATAAGTTAAGATACATCCATAATAATTTTATTATTTCCATTATGCGATCGCGTAATTTGGAATCGAGACGTAAATAGATATTGCATTTCTTGATGAATCATAAGTGTAGATAAAAAAATCTGATCACAAGAGTTAGATTTAGATTTCGCAGAATTAAGACACGTAAATATACATATTTTCTTTAAAACATTATCAAAAATTTTTATTAAAATATAATTGATTATTATTTAATTGCCGCAACATCATATATCAGAATGACTACTTTCATTATTAAACAAACCGTAATATCGTAAACAGATAGCACTCTTTTGTGCATATAAATGTAATTATAACTTACGTATTTGTTTTAAATATTACGTCAAAAATTTCGAGTATAAAATATAAATATCAATATGGCTTATTTCTTATATATATATTTTCATACGCGCGCGCAATTAATTAAGGCACTTTTATATACAAATTTTTTGATTGTGTCTCGCAGCATTAAAAACGATTCAAAGATCGTTCACGTCAGAATATATCAAAAGACCAAGTTAATAAAGCTAAAGACGAAGGATTATAAAGGAAGAAAATTGTGTGTATACATATAATAAATAACGTAATTACAAGTATAATATAAATTCTTTTTGTATTAGCTACGGATTGTTAAACGATTTTAATAAATTATATATTTTATAGCAATTTTTATATAAGTAAATAATCATCAGCTTCCAAGAAAATAATCTATTAATATATAATTTTGGACTACCACAGCCAGTACAAAAGAATTCTGTATTATTATTGGCGTCTTTTAGCTCATCTCTTTATTAATTGATTTTGTCTTTTGATATATATCTTGCATATTGTTTCTCTTGTGTGTGTGTGTGTATTATCATAATGTATGTAACACAATCAATTGTGCAATAATAAACACACGACGTAATAAATATTTTATAAACATTGTCTTTAAATAAGAATGTCACGTTTTATCTTTTAAGTCTTAAAAATATGCGCATTGTAAAAATTTAATAAAATATCGTATCAATGATGATACTAGAATAACAAGAAATTATTGTTTATATTCTATCGCACGCGTGTTATACATAATTATCATAATTTGATAGTTTTTCGATCAAAGATTTTACTTTAAATATCATCGAATTCGTGATAGAAATAAATTAATTGTATTTGTTGTGACTATAAGTAGCCAAACAATAAGTATTTTCTTTCTGGAAGCGCAAAAAATGTGTCATTGCAAGAGAATTAAAGTAATTCTCTCTATTAATCTTAAGCAGGTAATTAGTACAGCTCTGAGAATGTATGGATAATATTACATCCACTTGTAAAAGTAATCCAATTAAGTATATAAATTTTAACACGGAATTTTAAGATATGCAATGCAACGCAAATAAATCTTTTTTTTAAAGAAATAAAACGTGATATATATATATACACATACATAATTTTACTATCTCAAGATTCAATTTCTCTTAAATAAGAATATTCAATCTGCATTAATAATAATTTAATCTGCATAAAGATAAAGAAATATTTATGAGCGTTACATTTTGTTGATAATTCGAAAAATGAAATAATAAATAGGTCTACTTAGCCAAGTACTTGTAATGATAAAAAAGTACGATTTTCCGATTTTTTTTTATTGATCACAATATCCGCGCGCGTGTTTAAACGTACTTTGTCGAGAGTGGATCCCCGTCCAGGCTCAGTGGTTTAGTGAGATCATGCGAAACTTCACCAAGACGCATTAATGTATAGTGGACTTCGAATCGTTGTAAATAATGATCTTCCCTAATTGGAATCTATAACTGAAAAAAATCACAGAGAAATATTAATATTTTCTATAAAATTAATCTTTATACATAGTCCATATAAAATGTTATAAACTGTAGAAAGTAATTTTTAGAAAATAATTAAATTAATTCGGATGATTTCTTAACAATGTAAATATAATTAAAATACTAATATTTATTTTCTTAAGAAACTATTAAAAAATAGAGAAATTTATATATGAATTACACAATAAGTCTCGAATATTAGCAATATTGGCAGATTGATAGCAAATTTGATCAAATTTAATCAAACCTTGTTTATTGAGTTATTTAGTTTAGGAGAAATAAACAGTGCTGCATGTTTATTTAGTGAAGAAAGTAATTTCTTCTGTTATAAAGAGTTAATAATAAATTATAAAAGAAAACAAATGACAATTTTGTCGTTATTCGCAGAAAAAACACTTATAATAATAACACAAACGAAAAAACACAGCTTATAATAACATTTCATGCAGAACTCTGTATTTCTATCGTAAAGATTTTATGTGCCTCTTTTTTTTTAAAGTTGTAACACGATTATCTTGTGATGTATCGTGAAATTCTGCAAGTACAAAAATTTTTTGTACTTGCAACAACCGTTACTATCCGAGACACCCATGAACCCTCGTCGAAGATTTATATCGAAAGAAAACAGTTTCTATCACAATTTCGTGATCCTGGGAGTAGGGAAAGGAAGAAAGCTCCCGTGTATATCCTCGAGAGATCCTTTGTCCCGTCACGCTATTGTGTTCACTAGATCGTGCGGATCCTCGTTTACCTGAATTGAGGAAGAATTAAATTCGGAAACGGACGGGAATTGTCACGGATTCCGAATTCCGGATATATCGTGGGAAAAAAACGACATGTACAAATAATGTGGCAAATCCTCATCTTTCCGTGGGGAGCATCGGAAAAAAAGGAACGAAATAGTTTCGATGTGTGAAGAAAGAAAGATGTCTTGCTTTTCATAGTGCATCAAATTAAAAAACTCAATAAAAATAATTTCTAATATAATTAGATAATTAATAATACATATAATAGAAATGTAAGTATAAAGTTTCGTAGAATTAACGCAATAACGTTTTTATAACAAAGACATAATATTTTAACAATTAATATTTTGTTGAATTGTTTCTATATTTCATAGACCTTTTAAACAATTTGATGTACTGTAAGCTTTGATATATATTTTTCGGTGTAATATACATAGTTTTCCAGTATATCTGAAAGCAATCATAAAGAATTCGGTTAGGAAAGCGTTCCTTTCCAGTCGCAAAGATAAAAAGAAAGATCGAAGAAAGAGTGTGCGGTATACGTAAGTGGCGAAAGATAAATTGAAGGATCTGCCACGCCCGCACTTTTAAGATCCTAGAAACCGACGTGAAGTGTCTTTGGCAAAGTGTTCAATATCCCAAATCTGGAAACTCTCAAGCTTATTTCTGCTTATCTGATGCATCTTATCGTACTTCGATAAATAAAAGGAGAGCATGTATCTTAGAATGCAATTGAATTTTTGACTGAAGAATAGTCTAAAGAATATTATTATTTAATTAGCGCAAAACTTTGATTAGGTGGACAACGTATATAAACATTATTTTATCGAAATGCCTTAAAAAATTCATGAAATTGCAATTAAATTCAATAATCAAATATCTATAACGTATCTTCATAATTACGCTAGAAAAATTGACTTAAAAAACAGAGAATTTAGCAGTACTGGAATTAGCTTTAAACGATCGCAGTCGTTTTAAAGCCGTTGCATTGCCATGCTGGTAATGTTTATTGATAAGATAACCAACATGCGGGTTCCACCAGCATAATTATTCGTTGAATTCTTTGTTCTACGTACTAAATGTCCGTGGAACAAGTCGAAGGCGGAAAATGACGAGAGCTATAGAGTCCACATGCTTGTTTCACGACATAGTTTGCGCTAGTTTGCCATTTTAATCACATACACATACGCACATAAATATTAAATTTGTAAAATAATATTTTGGAGAGAAGCAGATAAATATCGACATTTTCAATACATAATTATTTTAAATTTAGCTGTTTTAGCTAAATACAAAAATACTGTTTATACTGTTTTCAATAGACGAAATTATTATATTAGAAAAGTTTGCTTTATTTTATCGCGAAACGTTATTTTATCATTTCAAAAGGAAAGAGTTAGATAAAGATAGAAAAAATTAATCATCTACGCCTTCCTTCTTTTTTTTAATAAAGTGAATTTATGGATTTCTGCCGGCGCTTGAAAGGTCTAAGAAAAATTCTCACGATTACGTGGCCGCAGCTCGGCCGTATCTCACACCGTGTTTAATCTCTATAATACGTTTCAATTACTAAAGCGAGACATGGTCATTATTTACTGCAACTTTTAGCCTGCGGCCTTTCGACCACCCCTGCACATGCTCCTACTGAGAAAACTCCCGGTGTCCGATGCGACGTTACGCCACTTCGATTAATTATTTCGATTACGGCGGATTATCTCGCGCTTAATTCGCGTAACGTACTCCCGTTATCTCCATAATACGTTATCCGAAAAAAAGAGATTTAATTGGACTGCCCACGGTTCCGCGGGAGGGAGGACGGAGGAATACAAGAGGAGAGAGGGGGGAGGGGGTACCTCACAAATTAACGATAGGGTTAAGAGTACTTGCGTCTTAGTGCTCCTTGCGGCGCCGTCCTCGCACGACAGGCAGACTAAAAGCGAGAAAGAAAACCGACACAGCGGTCGCACGCACCGATATATGTGACCGGGAGCCAAGTAAGGAATTTATTAAATTAATTTGACGCGACGACGCATCTCGTAAACTTCGTAGATGACCTCACTTTATAATTGTCGGGAATTACTTGCTGGCCGCTCATTCCAGGCCTTTGCGCGAAGCTCCTTGCTCTCTGCTTTTTTTTGCCGCGCCGATACGTTTCTATGATAATATTTTACATTATAATTGAAAAAAATTGTGACACATGTTTGTTAAAAGCAAAATATTGCGGTCTATAAATAATTCTCGTAATTTATCAAATTTAGGAAACTTTTAATTAAAATATAAATTTAGAAATTAAAATTATTTTTACGAAATCTATCTTCAAATTAATTTTGAATAATAAATATTAAATTTTATCTCTCTCTCTCTCTTTTATATATAATATTCAACGTAAAATACATATTTTAAGAGAAGAAAGTTTTTCAGAAAATAGTGATGTTGGAATAAGGATTTCAAGAATAAAAATTCCGCGTGTTGTGACTGTGACTGGACTTTTTTAAAGTGGTCGTGCCGCGCATATGTCAGAAGCGGCGGCAATGCAACTTCTGTCGCCCTTCAGTCGATCAACGTATGTGTATGCAGCACTATATATCGCCCTGCATGCACGGCACGTGGGCACTACGCACGTTTCTAAGGAAACCGCGACTTCTATTTGTGGCACGGCGACTGGCACCGTCTGCCAGCTGATTTTTTTTCCCGTTTGAATCGCGCACTCCAGAATCGAATGCATCGATTATCGTTATACAATAATTCATTCCTTGCACTTCTGAAAAATGCATTAGTTTGAAATTTGCTAGATATATCGAAAATATACACATATGTATCAAAAATATAAATATTAAGAAATCTTGAGATGGTGCAATTTTTTTGCAAGTCTTTAAGAAAACTTGGGTTCAAAAGCAATATTCTAGGAAATATACGTAAGGTATCTTATATGGATATCAATGTTATATTTAAAATTCTCCTAAGTAGAGTTTGGAAGAAGTAGCTTGGTCGTGAAACGAACATGTGTTAGATATCCATAGGGATTGATGACCAGCAATTGGAAACCAAGAAGATTGAGGAAGGTCTGGTTGCGAGATATTTCAAGGAGAATATCCAACATATGGCTAGACGTTCCGCCACTTCCGTTCGTGGTTGCACGCTTTTAAGATGACACACCATGATCCACCACCAGCCATGTGTCCCCCAAATTGCATACTGTAGACCATTAAGGTTACTCTGACCTTCGAATGCATGAAACTTGGAGCACAAATATAATGAAAAAAATAAAACTCAAATTATGTGAACACAAAAATATCTTAATTTTGAATTTTTATCAAAGAGAAACTTGGATTGCAATTTACTTTGTAAAAGGAATTTGTCTTTATCGTCATGGAATAAGCAATAATTTTATTGGTATAAAATAATAAATGAAAACATAATTCCGTGAAGATGATCGTTAAATAGAAAGACGAGAAAAACAATCTCTTTATAATATAATATAAAACTCTATGAACTTGCTATCAAGAATATGTGCTCCCTACTGATAAAGCCTCTTGGAACGAGAGGGTTTTCCGGTGCGACAAAAAGCATAGAAGAGACTGACATCCAAGTGTCACGTCGGCACGTACTTTGCAAAGTGGTTTCAGTGCGTAAAGTTTATTTTCGGGCTCGACACCGACGTAGCACGTGTTCGGGATGAAGCGTCGAACACGAGTTTCCACTTGGCGGTGTTTCCGCGACGCGGGTATCACGTGTGCATCCTGAACACATCAAGAACGCAAGTCGCGACACCCGCTTGAACAGACACTTGCACCCTTCCCACGTTTGTCATGCGAAAGAACTTTCGCTTACTGCAGGCATCGCTTTGCGTATTAAAATCGAGCAAATCTTTTTACCATAAATAATCATTTCTCCATTCGTTTATAATAATAAAAGTAAAAGAAATATGTACCTTTTAAAAACGTGTAGTGTTAAATAATAATTTTACGAGGGAAAGCAAAGGAATATTTTTAATTAATTTGTCAATCAAATATAGTAATCACAACATTAAAGAATGAGATAGCTATTAAGTGCCGTCTCATTCTATGCAAATTTTCCCGAAACTTATTTATTTTCACCGGCAGATCCGGCGTCAGGACGGATCGCTATTAAATTCGTCGGAAACTCACCTACGGTTACACGTGCGTCAGCCGTTGCGTGTGCTGCTGATGAACGAGTCTACCCTGTTCCTGTTCCCACCAGCTGACAACGTCCATGAATTCCCCCGTCTCGGTGATCTCTTGTTTGTAGTAGAGGGCTCCGGAGAAGGTCTCCGGGCTAGTCGTGTAGACAGTTGTCGCACCCTCCTCGCTGTCGCCGGCGCCGCTGTACGGCGACAATATCTGCGGCTCCAAATTCTCCTCGTTCTGAGCGTAATATTCCGACGGCGGCGAGGCCACAGAATTTGGCGACAGTCTGGAAAAATTCTGTCCGCCAGTTATAGGTCGCGGCTCCAGGTTTTCCTCGTCACCTGCCGAGGATGCGTAATAGTCATGCGGAGATGAAATTGCCGTCCGATTCGGAGACAATCTGTAAAAAATAGAAATGAAATTAATATATGTAATTAATTGTGCTAATTTGTGTTAATAATTAATAATAAATACAATAATTGGAAAAAGTCGTATTAATAAATAAAAGTTTGAACTGTATTATTCTTGAAATATTGTTTTTGCCTACTGATGTGTCTTTTTTAGTCACCGTCTGAATTCAAAATTTACCTGGCTAATATAATCTTTGATTTGGCATTGCTCCCATCTTCCTCCTCTTCCAGTTGTTCTCCCTCGTCGTCTTCGGCAGCTAACACGTCGTCTTCGAGAACGAGTCTTTCACCAGAGCCATTGTGACTCGACGAGATCACGCTGCTAGTCGGAGATGGAGCGCACTGTGCACCGACAGCGATCTTGGAATCGTACTCGACACCGTCAGCTTCAGCCAGCAGCCTTTGAAGACCTCTGATGTACTCCACGGCCATCCTGAGGGTCTCCACCTTTGACAACTTTTTACCCCTGTCCCCGTAACCCGCGGCAATGTGGCTCGGAATGTGTTGTCGCAATGTGGCAAATCCGTTGTTCACTTGTTTCACGCGATTTCTCTCTCTAGCATTCCTCCGAGCAACGGCAACGGGTGGCGGTTGCCCATTCTTGCCGTGCTTCTTCAGTCGAGAAGGGTCGTAGGGGGGTAGTACGGTCGTAGAATTCGTTGCGTTATTCTTGCCGCTGTTTTTCGAAACTATCAACGGTTGGTTGCCAATGATGTTGTTCTCATTATCTTGCAACGTCCGCAACAGCATCAGTTGTTCCTGATCGTTGCTATTGATCTGCACCCTGTTGCAGAACACCGTTACCCCCATAGTCGCCATTATGCACGTTTTGTCATAAATCCTCAGAGTGCGTAAGTTATCATCAAAGTTTCGCAATCTTGTTCTAAGCTAGAAAAATATTGTTTTTTTCTTAAAAAATTCAGTATCCTAAGCAAGTTAGAGATCTCTATAGTTACGTTTAATAATTTATAATAAACCGAGACCAAATGATTTTTATAGTACTCTTATATCCACGCTAGGAATGTGCAATATCTTGGTAAATTACAGATTCCGCAAAGTGTCGCGTTTTGTATATTGTTGCGCCGAGTAATTTCCACAATAGTGCTGATTAAACGGGTTGCGTTGGGACAGCGGGGTCGACCGGTCGATAAACGACACTAATGCCTGTCGAGGACGAGCCTAATTGCCGGACTTATAAATAAAACGCGCTCTCTCTTGCCGAAGACAAAGGCGATTATCGATGCAGACCGTTGGACGACGCCGCGATTGAGTGTCAATTTGAATCTAGGTCAAACCTGTCGCTTGCGAAAAAATATAAATCAATATTTCTTATAAAAGCTTATAACACGATTGAAATTTTGAGGCTGTGATTATTAATATTTTAAACATCTGAGCTTATGAAAAATTAATGAATATTTAGCATTTTACTTTGGTCAGATTTCTCTTTTTTCTTACAGCTGACCATTCAACAAATTGTTACATCCGGAATAAAAAAAAATGTGCAAATATTTTGCCACAAATAATTTGCAGTGAGTCCTTGCCTCTGATAGGCCTATAGCTTCTGCCTCTACTAATACACGAAGCTGATGACCCGAACCGAGATCTAATTGTCTCGCTGCCGGTCACTATGGCTTAAGTAAAGCATGAGGTCACCGTCTATTCTTCTCCGCGACGGTCGTCGACTCCTCGGAAACTATTATACAGATCTCCCAAAACAAATCTGCTTTAAATTGTCAGTATATTTTTGAAGCATATGTTTAATATTGTTCACGATGTTTTATACATGTATCGCTCATTTCCAGGTGATTGCCGAAATATCGTGATTTAGAATAAGCATTTCGGCGAGACTTAGAATTAAAATCGCAGATCTACCAATTATGAAACGATTCGGTTTACTTTTAGCTAAGATTTAAAATAATCTATTTGTAAAATGTATGCCATTGCTATATTTATACCAATTGCAATTCAACAAGCTATGATAAATATCGTATTTTGAAAATGATTTGCTTTTGCGGTCGAATACTCACCAAAGATCAAGATAATGCCTGATGCAAGTTGTACTGTATAATGCTTGTCATCAAGATGAAACTGTCTGGCAATTTCGCATACAACATAAATGAAGACACTTTGTGAACGCCTTTATTCATAAAATAACAATATCTTACGAATCGAGAAATCTCACTAGATTGAAGGCACTTGAATTTCAATAATTCATCCATCTATGTCTTTCATCAATATTTTTGCGGTTTTTTTACGCGTTGCTGTCGCGCGCGCACTTCTATAACGTTGATTTACTGCATGCTGTACATGTGATGAGTACAAATTATGATTTCCGATTGCAAACTCGGTCTCACTATAGTAACAGTCACTCGTTCCGAAACGTTCACGTTTAAAACACCGTGGACGTTCAATCAGTTAGTGATTAATATCGATGTATCGCCCAGGCGAATGATAACCACAATGCGCTTCTGACACGTCTTTAATATCAATGTAAGATCGTCAGAACTGATTTGTCTTGTATTTGTAGCGTTAACATTTGTCATTCTTCTACAAGACGACGTTTGGAACGTTCCACACACGCGAGTGGGAAAAAGAATCCACCCGAACTTCGGCTACATTCACACCAGATACTCTATAGATCTTCACTCTTCACTTATAACCAACAACAATCCACATGAGCACGATCAGATGTGTAATAACGGTGTGTAATCACGTCGATCTACGAAACGGAGCAACTGCGTAACAAAAACTTGATTCAGGGTTGCTCTTAAGGGTGCGACGGTTTCTGAAACTAACTGGAAGCTCGCGTTCGCCGCGTTCGCCGCGTTCACCGGAAGCTGTGGATCGTCGCGATCGCGTATCACCGCACAGTACCACTATCGCCGATCGTGCCACCGTGCTACAGCACTACATGGCGTCCGCGTCGAGAATGAGCGCGGACATCGATAGATGGGTTAGGTTTCAGCATTTTGCCGCACCGCGCCGAGCTGGATCGCGGGGTTGGAGCGAGAAGGGAGAAGGGCGCCCGTTCTCGAACGGCGAGAGGGAGCGAAACGGGCTGTTGCGTGCTTACATGAAAGAAAAGAGAAGAGAGGAAGCGAGAGGGAGATGGTGGGGATTTTCAGCACGCGCCGCAGCCCCTCGTTTCTTCTCCCCCGGAACTGAAAAGGGGGACCGTGCGCGCCATATGCCGGGGGAGAGAGAGCGAGCGTGTGCCGGTTGCGCGACTACGTGTGTGGGTCTACGGTCCCGGCGAATAAGTGCGTGGCGCACATTCGTGCGTGCGTCCATGCGTGCGTGCGTGCGTGCGTGCGTACCTTACCCGCAATTACCGCTTCTCGTACCGGTGGCGTCGGCCGCGGAAGACTGTACGAAAGACAAAGTGATCCAGGTAATCTAATGCGTAATTGAACGGCGGTCGATACGCGATTAAAAAGGGCCGTGTTATTATGTACTTTGGTCCTTATTGCCCTATGTTAATAGACACACGCCGACACGGCCGAGTAATATTATACAATTCTAGACATGTTTGTATTGTTAATTTACTTAGCGCTTATCTTTGTTCAGCAGCTTTTATTTGCATTCGTAGAACCGCATTTTATTTCTTTGTCAACAAGAGTCTTTAAATTGCATATTTTAATAAACATTGCAATGTACTGATTTAATTTAGGGAAACACTACAAATTTATAGGCTTGTTTTATTTGCATTTTACGTCGCATCAACCACATGCATTTAACGGAAGCTACTCCTGCATGGACACTGCGATTTTGGCAGGACAACGACCAAAGATTACGTATATCCCGTGCTAGATATTCATGCCAAATAAATGCGTCGTGATTTGCATTTTCACTCTATTCAAACAGGACGCTTTAATCTTTGCCATTGTACACCATAGAATGTATCATGAGAAATATACATACTGCTGCAGCAAAACTGCATAAAATATCGCGTTTTATAATATAATAGAGATAATAAAATTTCAATACAGCTAGAACGTTATAGTAATTTTATACATTTGCTCCAAAATAATATCGAGCGTATATATTTTTATGTTTTTATTCAATTATTAAAAAAAAAAAAGAAATTTGATAAATAATTTAATTCTACCTAGCATACTTTCTATTGTGGCGAACGACAGGAAGAACCGCACTCACTCGTTGCAGCGCGGAAGTTTCGTATTTCGGGGCGGTACACTCGTGAGAGTGACACACCAAATGCGAAATGATTTTTGTTCGAGAAAGTGAAAACATCGGTTCTAAAATCGTCCACCAGCGCACTATTATTTAAGTTTTGTGTTTGAGCGCATTTTAAGAAAATCTTAAAAATTATATATTATTAATTTTTTCTAAGAATATTATTTATAATATATTCCTTGAAGAAAAAATAGAGAGAAGGCAAAGCAAGCAGAATTGATTTGAATCACTAAAACGTATTTATACTTATTGAACAATTGAAAATTGCTCCGGTTGAAAGTTGCTGCGAAAAAATTGCAATTGAATTGAATATTCAATCAGAGTGTACCTGACTGTAATTTTTATGCGCATACGTAAATTATAATTTAAGAAGCAACCGCGCGATAAAAAGCTCTTTATGCCGAGGGCTGTACTGATTATGCCAAAAGGGACCGGAGGGTTCGGTGGGATTTGACCTAGATCTAGTCTGCATTTGTGCATCTCAGAGTCTAAACCGACCGTAGGACTAAAACGAAGGCCCGAATTTATAATACGCATAAAGTGGGGAGCCTTTACAAACTCTCGCACAAAATTTTAATTTCAGATCCAAAGCAAATAATTATTTATTAAAATGCGATAAACGTCTAAAATGAAAAATATCACATATCTCGTAAATCTAAGTTAATATTTTATTAATAGTTTTAGGTTTCCTGTTATTGAAGAGCGATTTTACGTGATAGAAGAACGGGAGCTGTGAACAGTGATATTTTCCGCTCTATCAACAGCTGGGAGAAATCTATTTGTGAGAAGACAGCGTGGTACAGCGCTGTGGTTTCCCCATATGCGAGAAAGATCCGCTTTTTCCCATAGAGGATTAACGCAATTTGTGCGCAAACGGTTTGCACGTGACACCAGTTAAGCTGGCTTTTAACAGCGGTTTAGACAGTGATTTATGAAATTTTTCTCAGGCGATACTTTATCCTCTCACTTCCTCGTTATTTTCATTGAAAACGGAAAACACTCAATCCTCGCATATGATGTTCATTAGCGATGATGGAACATTTCCTTCGTCCCTCAAACAAGATGTGGGAAGCAGTCAAAAATTTGATGCAATTTTGTTCTTCGTAATGTGTGTATGATATGCAAGTATGTGAGCATCACACGCGGAGTATAAAGCGGCACTCACATGCCGGAGCGTAGTACCTAAGCATTGCGTCTTATTGCGCATTAAATATACATAATCTCGCGATTATCATTGCGCGACTAACACACACCGAGCGTCTGCCGTTCAAGCTCGACGCCAAGCAGGGTGGAGTCGAAATCAAGGACAGCTCCTCGTAGTACGCGCGCTCGTAAAATCGCCGGATATGTTGATCTGATGTGGCCGCGCGCGAATGGAATCGAGTATTTTCAAAGGCGTGCGCGACCTTTGCGAGGCGAGGTTCTCGCATGCGCGCAAAAAATACGTGTCGCAACACAAAATGATTTGATCCCGATTTATGTATCCAGATCGGGATATCGCCCCACTCGGATCGGCCTCGTTCTCGCCGCGCTGTGTATCACGGAGCGCTTCGGCATTATCGAGCGGCGCATCGATGCCGCTCGCGACCGTCCGACTGATAAGTTTACAGGCTCATCCGGAGGCATTATGCGTCGGAGAAGATCCTCAACAATGGGGAACTCTGTGGGGCCCCACGGCGGTCCCCTTTCCCTTCCCCGTTCTCGCGCATAATCCCCGAGAGCACTTCTCGACTGGGACTCCACCGAGGCGTGCGCGCCCCCTCGGTGCCCCTCGGCACTGGGAGATTAAAGCTCCTCTCGCGAGGGTCGCCGCTCTATATATTTCGTTATAAATTCGACCACGGTTCTCGTTCACCTCGAACGCGCGGCTTGGCATTGGCAGTCCCGTTGCGCTTCTCCTTTATAGACGCGCGTGACATCGGTTCCCCGTTAATATCCTGTGTTTATTGTTAAAGGGATAACCATGGACGTTATTGATAGCCGTGTATTATTGGGACAACAGCGATTCCCGTTTGATCGCGTTACCGCGAAGGAACGTGACGCTGACCTTTCGTCCTGCGCAAGCTTATAATTTACTGAAATTTTTCTGCTTATAAAAAAATATAGATTTTTTTAAATCAAATTATTACGGAAATTTTTTGAATGTAGTGCGGAGTCATTGCCTACTTTTTAAGTATTGATCGTGAAGAGTGCAACGCGTTGTAGGCTCGTTCGCCTGTGCGCGATCGCTACCGCCTGGTACGAACGTGACTCGTTCTTCCGGTGCGATGGGGTGAAGCAATACGTCCCTCGGATCGACGATTCTCGGCCAAGTCGCAGCGCGAGCGTAACTTTAATGTGCATTATGCGTGAAATTCGCGGCGCGGACCAATGCGCCGCGGGGGCCCATGTGCTTAAAAAAGCACTAATAATACACTCGCGACGAGTGGTGTGCTTTGGACTGCCGCGGCAGTCGACGGGGTTATGCGGCCGAAGGAAAAGGAAGGAGACGTGGAAGGAAAAGGAAAGGGATGTGGAATGAAGAGGAGAGGCGGTGGTGGTGGAGCGACGGGGAAGCAGGGAGGAAAACGAGGCAGAAAGGGGGTGGATCAGTGCGGGCCCTTTGTCATGACGCGTGCCCCTGCACGTGTGCACGACCAATGCCTACGCACTTCTGTTACGCACCATGCTCCGTTGCAGGGACGGATCTCGAAGCTGTAAATTCGACGGAGAAGTAACGGTGTTTCCAGCAAACAAACTGCACTTCCGTTCTGCCGTGCGTTTAATAACCGTCGCACGACGTAATCAAAAATATCTCTCTCACGTGTTGAAAAATAGCCCAAGTAGCTGTGTGATATACACCTACATCTATTTTTAATTAAAATTGTCGTTACATGTTTAAATAATAAGCCGCAGTTGGCTTTTAAAAAATAATTTACTTAACAATAGATGCAATTAATTAAAATGAAAAATATTTTAGCCAATAGTATGTTTTAGATCAAAGGGATTGAGCCACAAAATTTGTAAAAATAAACTTTGAAAGAAACTGTAATACAAATATTGTATTTTTACAATGCGCCAGCAGCTTAATAATGCAAAAGCGATTGCATATAGCGGTCGTCCGACCCTGATTTGAGGCGCACTTACGCTTTTCTATACAATTCGTCCTACGTGCCTACGTAGGTGCGCTCTATTCAACTGCGAAAGGTAATTCTACTCCCCTTTTCTCTATCGAGCCCACCCCGCCACGGTCTCAGCTTTACAATGTGCAAAATTATACGATCAGCCTGCTCGATCTATCTTTCTCTCCTCCCCCTTTTCCCCTTGTACCCCTCGCTGACTTTACTCGCATTTGGCGATTGTAAACGATACTTGAGCGTAACAGAATACGAATTTTTCGACAATTTGTGCTCCTGTCTTTTTCCTTTAAGAAACTATGGCAGTGTTGCACGTACAATAATGTTACAATGTGTACACGTCAATGATGTACTAATTGTAAGATAATTTTTATAATTAAATATTGATTCTGCTACTTTAACATAATTAAATATTCGAAGTAGGAAATAATCATTTCAGCGGGATTGCGTGTTAAAATGATAAAAGTATATCTTTTCTTCACGCGCAAATATTCAGTAGACGGTCCTCTTTTTTCTAATCATTAAAAGTTGAGATAACGCAGGCCGCCTCGATAATAAAAGGTTGGAAGGCGCAAAAAGTTCAAGCCGTTTCCTGCTTCGAGATTCGAGGGTTCGTAAAAAAGGGCGCAGAAAAGAGCCGAGAAGAAATCGCTCCTTTTCTCTCTTTCTGTCTTTTTTTTTTTTTTGCCACACGTAGTCCGTTCAACTCGCGCGGCGACTAATCCGTAGCGCCGATGGATCTCACGCTCCTTTTTTGCCGACCCTCGGCGAAAATGCCACCGCGGCGCACTTACGCATCGCTTCGCCGAAGGCGTATGACACGACCGT